TTGAAACTACTTAAAGTTAAAAACCATTTAATACAAATTCAATGAATAAACGAAATTATACTAATTTCAAGACCTAAAGATTATAGAGTGGATATAAACTATAAAAGTTTTACGCTAACTCTATCCAGTTTTCTGTTCTTCATCAGCTTTATCTAGTTCATAATGAAGCATAATTTAACATTTACTTTATAATTAAACCAGTATGTTAATTCACCATATATATGTATCTACTTTAAAACATAAATCGACGATCTGTTATTAAAGTAATTACAATTCGTCTGCCAACATTGTATCTTAATTCGGTGTGTAACTTCCATGAATAATAAATGAAAATTTCTCTTTCACGAATAGCATGGTATATCTATGTTTACGCAGTACACTTAAGCATGAAACACAAAGCTATTTGATTAAAATAAGATTTCGAATTATTCATATAAAGACAAGGTTAGATTTACCTACTAAACGTATGATATAATCTTAGCAATGAGTACGGATTCAGACAAGTTTCTTTCCTACTTTCAACTTATAATCACTGAGTCATGAATTCAGATCCATCATATATTCTTTCTATTGCTCACAATATTGGATTAGCATTAACTGAACAAGTCTACTACAAATTTCTAGGATTGTATCATAAATTTTCAACTTTATTATGTTTAATCATATTTTGGTAAAGCTTATAAAACAGAATAGTATCTCTTCAAGTAAATTTCTTCCAAATTTATCAGTCATTGAATAGGTAAAATAAAATTTGTAAAAAAACATACGGTTATTGTCAGTATAGGGTTGTGGAGATTAGGTTTGTGAATGAGATCATGAACCGATTGATGTAAGACCACCATGGAAAACCTGGAATCACTGGACGTCTGTTTCGCTCTATTGTGCGGCGCTTATCCACGATCCTGCTCACGGGATTAGAACCCAGGGCCTCCAGTCTCGCGCGCGAACGTTTAACCTCTAGACTACTAAACCGGCATCCAATGGGGTTAATGTCAAACCCCAACCAATACACGAAATTGCGCGACCATCTTCCATTGTACTGAGGTAGATATCTGTCTCTAGCTGACACGGATTAGCCCCACTGGTCACGACTACACACTAGAACTCCGAGAATTTTCACACGAAGCTGGTCACTAGTGAGGACATCGCAATTATCAGCAGATACCTGTTTCTACCTGACATGGATTAATTCGTACTCATTTACCTTGATAACTTATTAATATAAAGTTTTTCTTTGAATTCATATTAATGTAAAAATTTTCATCTTTTTCCTTTGTAATTTAATTGTTGAATCCATGAGTCAATTGAAGCTAGATCATCATGGAAAACCTGGAAGCACTGAATGGCCGTTTCGTCCTAGTATGGAACTCCTCTGCAGTGCGCATCCACGATCCCGCCTCGTGAGATTAATATTTTTATGCAACATTTCACAAAACATTTCAAGTTGAACTTGTTTTACGTAAATATATACAACACAATATTCAATTGATTTTGAAATCATATGCCAACATATAAAGCAAATGGTAGTAAAACAATGGCAACGCAACAAATGTGCGCAACTCAAAAAACTGAAAAATATACATAAGTTTTGAAATGACGACAGTTAAAGCGATTTCTTATTAGGTATTACTTTAAACCTGTCAATCCGATTTAGTCTTTGTGTTTAACCTAATTTATTGGTTTACGACATTTTGTCTCATATATGAATGAATGAAAATGTTCTATGTAAAGCAGTATCAATTTCTATTTAGAAAAGAAAATTTTACAAACAAACAAAACAATAACTATCTCTGTCACTCAATACCATCAATTATGCGGTTGGACTGATTTGGCTTATGTAGCTTACTTTTCTCAAATAAGAGAGATATATGAAATGAAGAAGTTCGACCGAGTCTGTTGTGAGATAGTAACTCACTGATGACAATGGTGGATGTGTCTCTCAATTTCGTGGATTAGTTAAAGTTAGACATTAACACCGTCTGATGCCAGCTCAGTGGTCTAGTGGTTAAGCGCTCGCGCGCGAGACTGATAGGTCCTGGATTTGAGTTTTGCGAGTGGGATCGTGGATGCGAATTGCTGAGGAGTCCCATACCAGGACGAAGCAGCCTTTCAGTGCTTCCAGGTTTTCCATGGTTGTCTAGCTCCAAATGACTCATGATCTCAACTAATGAAAAATGAAGAAAACTCAAATGAATGTCAGTTTCTTAAGGATTTCTAATCAGAGTGATAAAAATAACAACAAACTGAGAAATCTCATTAAGGAATTCCATTGTAGTTGTTTTTCTTTATGTGCTTTCTTGTCAATCTATAATTGTTGAAAATAATAACTTTGATACAGTTGATTAGTTGAAACAGTTTTAAACTTTGCATAAACACACAGTGTATGGAAGATAACAACAACAACAACAACAACAAAAATTAGGAGCCTATTGTGTTTCATTCAGCTAGTCTCTTTTATAACGAGTTCTGCATATTTTGTTACCTTCTCCTAATAACTACATATTTAATCTGAAAAAAACTTGAAAAAAGTGATCAGCAACAAAGACAACGAAAAAGAGCCTAACAATGAATTCAGTTGCATCCTGAAAACCTTATCATACCTGATTATGGTAAAAATATCTAGATAATAGCATGATATCAATAGATCTTGAGTGGTGCCGTAGATTAGTTATTCATAGATCAGTGTTGCTTCTTTCAAGAAGTAGTTTAGAGGTTAAGCGTTCGCGTGCGTGATCGATAGGTGCTGGGTTCGAATCTCATGAGGCGGGGCCGTGGGTGCGCGCTGTTGAGGAGTCCCACAATAGGACGAAACGAGCGTCCAGTGCTTCCCAGTTTGCTACGGTGGTCTAGCTTCAGTTGACTCGCGATCTCAACTATCAAAAATTACAATTATATTTATTTCGTATACAATTATGACAAGTATGACAATAAAAATACTTGATAAATCTACAGTCAACTCTTGAACTTCTATTTAAATATTGTTGCAGAGAACATGAAAACAGGATATTTTTCTGCAAAAAATATTATTAGGTATAACAATTTTAACATAACGAGGAATTCTTATGAATCCTATCATATTTGTAGAATTCAGTCAAATAAAGAAAGAATAACATTCTGGCAATAGATTTCAAGTTACCAGTAATATAGTCACAGGGAATTCTAAAAATATTTTTGAAATCTTATTATTTTCTAAATTCAGTTGGTGTTGTTTAATTGTATATTTCCATTGTTATTTAGGAATGCAATTGATCAATTTCATGTTGGCATATATGTATCCTGTGCGGATTGCCTCGATATTGCCTTAGGTTACAAGCTTTATGAACGAAGATAGATAATGGCTAGCAGTAGAATTCAGGACGCGCGTTATGTCTTATTTGGGACTCGTCAGCTGGATGTACCTGCATCTCAGAGTTGATGTTCATCCCGGGATTCGAACTCAGTACCGTTCACTTCGAACGTCGTAGCGTTATTCACTTACTATTTTTTTCAAAAAAAGAAACATTTAATCACGTTTATTTTACACTGACTTATTGGATGTCTAATTTATGAAAAAACTTTCTAAAATGACTGTACTTAAAGTTTGATTATCTGCTAGGAAACAAAGTTAGGCTTAGTTTTATAACTTCTCTTTACAATTTATATATCGATCGTTAAACTTCAATCGTCAGTGAATATTGTCATAATGAAACTATTGTTGTCTATTTGTACCTTTGATTAGATTTTCTTCTTATTCTCTATTGATGTTGAAGAAATAATCAACTGGTATTAACTGTTGTAAAACATAGAAATCTTAAAACGAATTATATAAATATAACTGTAAATGTAAGACACATTTTTCATGATATATTAAACAGAAGAGTAGTTATCTGACGTATTGGAAAGTACCATATTTTTAGGAGTCTATTGTGACAATAATAATAGTCGGAAAGAGAAGGAGAAACTCAGAAAACTTCAAATAGGACTCTCACTTTAATTGTATTTTTTCACCTTGAAGAATACTTCTTCCTTAACCTATGCTGCTACAGTTACTGAAGAAAAACCCAGTGAGAATTGTCTAAAGTTCTTGTATTAATAAAGTCATATCAAGTCGAACCATGTAGTTAACTATGATAGCCTCAGAGGGACCCTAACTAAACGTCAGAAGTATTATCTGCCATACAGCTCTGTAAATTTATTTTTTAAATAAACTGAGTAATCACTTGGATGACGCACATCTAGTCATGTTTTTATTAGCAAAACAACAACAAAACTTTAAAATGAATCTTCCTGTTAATAACATAAATTTTTATTCTACTAGAATGCTGGGAATTATATAACCGTGGGTCGAAACATTCTTAAATAAATGAGAAAATGCTGTGTGGTTAGGAGGAGACAGAAACATTATAAGCTAGATAAATTATATCGTATTCTCGGAAAGCCAGAAGACATAACAAAATTAAAACTATATGTTAGCTAAATAATAACATATATTTGGATGATTACTGTATGTTCAAATATCTGAACGTACATTCTCAAGTAATTTCAGCCAAAATAGAATCCTGGCCCAATTTTCTTTCGCTTTTCGCCGATTCTAGGGTCAAGTCTTTTCGAATCTGTTATATATTCCTCAGGATAAAAAATATCGTCATTTTCCGAACCACAACAATTCTGTGTTCTTTGATTGGGCTCGAATTTATAGCTTCCCATAACGAAGTGTTCAGGATGAGAATAATAATCGTAAGGAAGTGCATGCAACTGAATAAAGCTGAGCAACATAAAACAATGGATGATTAACAGCATGCTTCAGAAAGCGTATTGACAAATAAACACAAACAACTCTATTTATATTTACACACATACAAATCAAGGTTGGGTGAATTTTGATAAAATTTCCTAACGAAGTCTTTGAAAATCCAAAAGTCACATACATATTTTGAAATGATTTGTTAGGGAAGTTATCAAAATAAAGGTAACCCTTTTGTTTGTCTGAGTCATTTATTATGGAGAGGGCGTTTCATATCCTGCGTTACTGGGGTAAGTTGTGAAGTGAGGCGGTTGAAGAAAAATATAAAGTTGTGCAAATCACATGAAATTTATGAGCTCTGGTATTTCTTATACTCGAAATGCTTAAATGTATGGAGGCCTAAATCATTCAATCTGTGCAAATCGGTAGCCTGCTCCACACTGGAATCCTATATATATACGGTAAAAGTATAATATACTGATAGCCTTGAGTTAACCTCAATTGTTTTGCGCAAATTTCTAAGTGCACTTATTGATAGAGTGCGCGCCATCATTTAGCTGGTAAAAAGTAGCTTTTAAATTATTGGAAATCAATGTAAATACCGTCCATACAACGACAAAATGGATTTTATATGTAGCCTAAGCTAGGTTATGTGACAATTGCTTTCAGGGCTGATTTTTTACGAGTATTGAGTGGCGATAATCATGCAATCAAGAGTGTTTAGTGAAGCTTGATAATCTCCCTTACGTACTCTCACTAGGGATCTGAACTTTTAACTTCTCAAGTACGTTGTCAGAAAGGTGGCAAGGCAGTTCATTGTTAGTTCGTGTTGAAAACCCTGACAAAAAGTTTGTGAACTACTCAAAGCTCCAGTTTTAATCTTAATTCATAGCCGCAACCCTTTTGCATCACAAGTGATGTCAGATGCTGACAAAAGTAATAGTGATAACCTTAATTCACAATGCTGGCCGGACACCTGTCATGTCTGTATGTGGACTCACCCATTTTTCTTCACTAGAAGGGATAATTTGACGTGAGAGTGTTTATTATTATGAGAATGATCGACCGTTTTGTCCTAGTATGGAACTCCTTAACAGTGTGCATCCACGATCCCTCACTGAAGCATATGGTAGACGGTCGCCAAATATTGTGGATTGGTTGAAGTTAGACATTAACACCGTTGGTTGCCGGCTCAGTGCTCTAGAGGCTAAGCGTTCGCGCGCAAGGCCGAAGATGCTGATCTCGAGTTCCACGCCGCCGAGGATTGCCGTACTAGGAAAAAACAGCCGTTCAGTGCTTCCCAGTTTTTCATGGTGGTCTAGCTTAAATTGACTCATGAATTCAACCTTTAATTATTATAATTAGAGCTGTCATTCCACTGTTATATCAATATGTCGTCTTGTTAGCTGTTATATAACTGAGAAACATATTCTGAATGTAAGGTAAGCTCCTCTATTTTGTCAATGTATTATACTTTTTCCATAACGACATTTAGTCAGGTCAGTTTCATCACGTATACTTTTGGCTTTCTCTTCACTGAATTCAACTCTAATAGGTCGTTCTAATGTGTTTTTTCTGCGCCTAGTTAGGCGCAAGCAAATGCGTGCTCGTATTAGAGGATGGTCAGAGTCCTAATATGTACTCCAAAATGAGTTGCAGTTTTCTATCGAGCCTCTTCAACGATGACTGATGGTAATATAGTCTATTTGAGTACACGGAGTCGCCATATCAAACGATGTCTCTCCTTATGCTTAAAATTAGTGCTTGCTAAAAGAAACGACTGTTAGAGCACAGTTGCAACAGACGGCCACTATTATCTGCTCGCTGAGCCGGAATATCGAAATACCCACCTAAATGGCTTTTTGTTTAGTCTAAGCTACCTACCTGCGCATTAAATTCACCTGCTACGAGTACTGTCTGAGTATTTAGCTTTCGAAGAAGTTCAGAAAGCTTTCTGTAAAATTCATCTTTCACTTCATCCGAGCTGCAGTCAGTGGGTGCGTAGGCAATAACGACGAAAAGGCAACGACGTGTGTCCCTATTCTTCCGAGTTTTTACAGAGCCGTTTAGCCGAACCACACAGGCGACTGTTAACAGAGATCCATTCTAAAAGTGGTTATTCTGTCTTCATATTCGGTGCTATGCCTACACCCACCAGTCCACGAGAACTAGTCATCGGGTCATCAGAAAAACGGAAAGTGTATCTCGTCCGCTCCCCGTTTTGGCGAGGTGAGGTCAAGTGAATGATCACACTAGGATCCCGTATGCATGTGTTGAAGGTATAGCATATATCAATTGTACGAGATTCTAGGGTTTTAGTCAAGGACGCCTGCTGGCTGATTTGACATAGGGTGCGTACGTTGAAGGCTCCAATGAGTAGTTTGGAGAGAGGTTTCAGTAGACCTAGGACAGTATTTTGCTCACTGGAATCGTAGACTATGGTGACACTTGAGGGGGAAGTCTAAAGAGGAAGTTTAGAGTTGAAAGTCGAGGTAGGAGGAATATTAGGAATTAAAGAAGGCAATTGACTATGAATACAGTGGTGTTGAGTGATGTTAGAGGTATGATGGTGGTTATCACTTTCCGGTTGCCCACACAGTGGAAGGGTTCCTATAGAGGTACGTGAAAACGAAATTGGGTTATAGGTAGTCTTAGTGACTGAGAGCGTGACCGCAGTACCCAAGGGACAGCTGCTTGAGGCCGGTCACACAATTTTTTCGTGCGTGGTTTCCGTGTTAGCTCCTTACATGTTGAAACCTTACAACGAGAGACGGAAATCTGTGGGATAAGGCGAGGTGTGTATTTTTAGGGTTGACCTTTTCTAACACCATCCTTCCTTGTGGGAAGGCGGCATCGCTGTTATGCTGGTTGTCTGGAGAAAATACAATACTGTCGTCACACCTCTATACGGTCAACAGCACGACTTTGCCCTCGAACCTTGGGTTTTGTGTTTTTAGTCTTGCCGCTCTTCAACCGACCTGTCTGGCTTGGTAAGACCTTGAGGAACAATTATTCCAGCCAGTATATCTCGATTGGTGAATAACGATAGGCAAGCTCGACCACCACTTCAAGGTAGCAGCAACGGTCGGGGTAAACATCTTTAGTACATAAACTTCTCTTTGAAAAGGAACGTCAAACCAACGAACATGCAAGGGGTTTTATATGAAGTGTCTGCGAGGCATCTAATCTACATACCAACAGCAGATTCATGGACTCTCCCAAATACCCTGGTACAGCCGAGAGTGGGGAGAGTTCGCTCTCCCTCTCGAAATGCCCTCACATGGACATGTGTATACAACTACTGCCAGGGAAGTCCTACTCATTGCCTCACGGCATTACTGTTGTTTACGAAACTAAGAGAACTAAAAGCGAATGTCTGGTGCTTTGGCCGGGTTGGTGGATGCGGAAGATCAACCTAGGGGACTTGGAAAACCCTGATTCTAAACCAATGGTGCACATGGGCTCCAGTGTACTGAGGGCACAAATGGCATATGAACCCATTGTTGGGACTGCATCTCCTGACGTTGCTCCACTGCATTGTGGATTAGACCTCTAAGCCAAGGCTCCGGGTGTGGCTCCCTAAGAAAACCACCCGTTTCGGTTTGGGTGCCCAGGCAGTATCACAGCCCTCACACAATTCAATGATAACTGCTACTGGCCTCGTTATTATGTGGCGCATATGCATGTTTGTTCCCTCCTAGCAGTCTATTGACTTAGAAACTTTCAACAGTTTAGTAAAGTTTCCAAAGGCATACAAATTGGGTTACTGCAAGCTTAACATAATCTTGGATAAGGTTGTTGGGTTGTCTATCAAGTTATTGTGTGTTATCGATGTTGATAACATTTTCTCTTATCTACGTTTGTTACTTTAGACATATTCTTTGCCTGAAAATTGAACAAACAAACAACTTAAACATGGACGATCAAGCAAGTACAATGTTAATTCATAACAGTATTCATTTATTTCACAGCAACAAATGCCGTGTTGGTACTATGAAAGAGAAGAATTATATAAAACACCATCATATTATGATCAAATTGACCATGAAACAGAGACACGTCATCGTAGAGAAGGTGCCAGATTTTTATCAGCTGTTAGTACCAAATTAAATCTTCGATATGATACATGTGCCACAGCGATTGTATTCTTCCATCGATTTTACATGTTCCATTCATTTAAGGCATTTCCACGTTATGTAGGTCTACATGTCAGGCTTTATTGTTTATGGATATCCTTTTGTAGGTAACAGCTGCTTGTTGTTTAATGTTAGCTGGAAAAGTGGAAGAAACACCAAAAAAAGTTCGTGATATTGTTAAAACTGCTAGGTCATTACTGTCTGATGCAGATTTCGAACAATTTGGAAATGATCCTAGGGTATGTAGTATTTTTATTTCTTTAAATTTTTTAAAAAATTCCTTTGCCCTCACTTATCCTATTATTTTTAGGAAGAAGTAATGGCATTCGAACGAGTTCTACTAAAAACGATTAAATTTGACTTGCAAGTTTCACATCCATATTCCTATTTACTTCAATTCGCAAAAAGAATTAAAGGTCAGTGTTCAATACTCATCCAATAATATATAAATATTAGTCTTCATTATTTTCCAGGGTACAGGAGCAATAAATTATTGTAACTCGATAGTCAAGTAAATGCTCATATATTTTTGTGTAAAGGTTACTGATAACATTCAGCTACCAAAACTGAAGTAATTAAGGCAGGAACACAGACACACTTATTGTTATTCCTTTTTAGCTGTTCTACTTAGTTTAAGTGTCCCTCGCCAAATTAGTGGTAGCGATTAGTTTGTTTTATTGTGCAATGCCAAGAAACTTTGTCGTTACCCTAAAAGATAAAATCAATATTTTAGCTGTTTTCGTGGAATATACTATAATGATAAACTGTCTTCTTGTTATGTGTTTATACATATAATTGTCATAGGAGCACTACCCTAATTCCTGAAGAATTTAAGTTCCAATCACTTGACCATACCTTTGGATTTCGTTTTATTCATCATGGTTTTCGGAAACAATCACACTTAAATTATGCCTCAAAGTCCAGCACATAATCCTGTAATTAGGTTTAATCAGAATAGTGCTCTTCAGTTACGTGGTCTAATTTATCTGCATAAATTTTCATTTGAACTAGTGAATTGACTTTTACAATCAATTAGTAAAAAAGCCTATCCATCACTTATTTAGACGATGCTTTTTCTGAAGAGACGGTTGTGTCAGAAAGATCCCCCTGCTTTTCTTATTACAAGCGCCTGGGCAGTGTATATCAAAACCCGATAAGTTCAAGTTTCCTATATATATCGACATTTTTTTTCTAGGTGTCTCATCCTGTCGAAAATTCTACTGGATTTAGTCTATATTAGGGACTAGACAAAATGATAAGCCGTGACTAATTAATACATCTAGTCGAGTCCTTTGGATCATGGCTTACAGTCTGAAGACTTGAGTGATGAAGTTTTTTAAAACAACATTAAGCAACACAGTGCAACAGTTTCACTAAAGATGATGAGTTTGTGCGCTTAGCTACCATTTCGCAATCCCGAATTCACTTCGGTAAAGGCGACTACTACTATCCTCTTCCATGCTATCCCGTTAACTAAAGTAACCAGTCCAGTTTCGTAATAGAAGCTTTGTAGAGTTAAAAATACGATTAAGTCGATCAGTTATATATTAATTATAATGACTACATTTCACGAACTGAGTAATTAACAACAGCACTAATCATAGTGAAACTGCATTAAAAGTCCATAAAGTCACGAAAATTTGTTGAAAGTTTACTTAAACTCGCTGTAAATCGATACGAATTTTCTTACTTAGAAGTTTTATCAAGGTATTCCACATCCCCAGTAAAAATATTTGAACATAAACCTTGACTATTTGATGGTTAGGAGTAGATAAAATTTAGTGTTGGTAATTTATTTCAGATCGATTCCAACAACTATGTGATCCCTATACCATTTATATGCTTAAAAAGTAATAGTTGGACTGAGTCATGTTGGTAGATCCAAACTACTTGATTGGGGTCCGTGCCGCACCTACAATCAACGATTGGAGATGTTTGACGACGCAGCCTTTTATTCACTGAATTTTTTCACCTAGTTATGCGTGTATGTTCTGGTAACTTGGGATAATGTGCGTTTGTGCTGGCCCCTATGTTTATTATGACTGACTGTGTGGCCAGTTTGAGATAGATTCTAACTTCAGTATGAACGATGTTATGATTTAGATGACCTCTACCTCTACTTTTTGTCTTTATTGTAGGCAACCAAGAGAAACTGAAAGAATTAGTTCAGATGTCATGGTCATTTATTAATGATAGTTTAGCAACAACACTATGTTTACAGTGGGAACCAGAAATAGTTGCATGCGCGGTCCTTTATCTAGCCACACGTATGAGTAAATTTACAATAGAAGATTGGGAAGGTCGTCAACCAGGTCAACGTTGGTGGGAATGTTTTGTTGAAGGTATGAGTACTGAAGTAAGTTCACTTACCACTGATGTTATTACGTTTTTAGCAGTTTCAGTTTTGTGTGCTTTTTACTCGGGTCAAAAACTGACACCCACTGCAGAACATATGAGTCAGTTTGAACAGGCAAGTGATATTACTGGCTCTTGACTAATAGTGTATCACAAAATCGAATACATAAAAATATCCCTAATTAATAAATTACTCTAATTTAAGTTATGAAAGAATATCACATAGCTATGTTATCCCTTATTTGTGACTGTTCTACAGTTTACACAGTGACGTTGAATATTGGGCTAGGAGTTTAAAGCCAATAAAGTTTGCATAATGTTCACCATTATGGGAATCATCTGTGTTAATTGTACTAAAATCAGCTTCGTATTTGTATAAACCAATGGATGGATTATTATCTTTAGTGTAAATTATAATAATTGTTTAATGCGAAATCATTTCAATAGAAAAATTAATATTGTTGAGTCGGCTTTCGTAAAACTTCAACGGAGCCTCCAGAGGCCCAAAAGGAGCCGAAGAGTCCTAGCCAATCAGAGCATGATGGAGCATTCTAGAATTCCAACGTGGCGTGTTACTATTGGCATGGTCATTGGCATAATATGTCGTTAACGGATTGGCAGAAATATGGTGTTGATTTAACAAACGCTAACATCTATAAATACCCATGATTTTCTGTACAAGAACGAACCTTGGAATAAAGTATTTTCTCTCATACTTTGCGTCTTCTCTCTGGTGTTCAGGTCGCTGTGTAGTTCTAGGTTGCGGGTTACCAGGATAGCTTAGGAACGAATATAGCGTTCAACTCTCAAGACTTATCAAATATATCAACACTTATGCAAATTTCATGCAATTAGTTCCCTTTATGAATTCAAATGTATATCCACTGAATACATTTTTTTCTAAGGATGACTAGATCCATAAAGGAGGGAACGGTTTTTGGAGATACAGTTTAAATTAGAACATGTGCCTCATGATAGTACCCAACAGTGAAATCTAATGTAAGTGTTCTTCTCTAGTTAGGTCTCATCAATTCGATATACTTTTATCTAAACACTGATGTCCCTACTGAGGCTAGAATTCCAGTAACCAGTCAGCCTTAATAAACATATGGGCCAGCACAGACGCACATTATCCCAAGTTGCCACTACACATAAGCATAACTAGATAAAAATTCAGAGTAAAAAGCAAGTTAAAATAATAGTTATATGAATATTCGTCAAACAGACTAAATGTTAGGGATATATTTCTAGAAGAAGAGATGGAAAGAAGATATATATAAACAAATACTGAAATGCAAGAGTCAGTAGATTTGCTTCACTGCGACCGATTTTGAGCTACGTCGACACACGTCTCCAACCATTGATTGTAGATGTGGCGCGGACCCCAATCAAGTGGTCTGGATCTACCAACATAACTCAGTCCAACGGTCACCAACTTCATGAACTGATATTATTCTTGGTTTGACCTCTCGTAGTTTTCTCCACAATTCTGTCTACTCCAGCTAACATCGCATTTTGGGATAGGTGGAAAATTAGGATATGTAACAATTGTTCAAACCGCCTCACTCGAAGAAGTTTCACGGACTGTAGTATCCAGTAGGAAAACACAAGGGCATCGTATGAAATTTAGAGAATATAAAGTATCATTGAACTCATTAAGCGATCTCAGTTAAACTTGGGTCGTTTAATGAGTTCAGTGAAGTTTGACAATCTCTATAACCCTTTACTAATCCGTTCAACAAAATTATTTTTCATGTAGTATTTAGATAGTATGTCCATCATTATATAAAATGTGATGCTATATATTTATTTTATTTGAACACAGATATTGGTACAAGGATACACCAAATACATATGCGCCACACAAATCTCACTTGATTTGTGCGAGGTCTGCGATACTGCCCGGGTGCCCAAACCGTAGCAGGTGATTTTCTTAGGGGGCCACACCCGGAGCCTTTGACCTAAAGGTCTGATCCACAAGGCAGTGCAGCATCGTAAGGATATGCAGTCCCATGGTAGCCGGTGACCGAAAGTTGGTTCATACGCCATTTGTTCCCTCAGTATACTGGAGCCCATGTGCACCATTGGTTTGGAATCAGAGTTTTCCAACTCCCCTAGGTGGACTCTTCGTGTCCACCAACCCGGTTAAAGCGCCGGACATTCAGTTTTCGTCCTCTCAATTTCGTAAACAACACCCCCGCCATGAGAAGGCAGTGAGTAGGACTTCCCTAGCAGTGGCTATATACGCGTGGCCGTGTGAGGGTATTTCGAGAGGGAGAGTGGACTCTCCCCACTCTCGGTCGTACCAGGGAATATGGGGGGCAAAGTTTTTTTACCTAGTACATCACATTTGCCCCCAAAAACGTGATGTATTAGTTAAAAATCTCAACACTGTGATGTGACCCAGTACATAATGAGATTTTTTTCTAAAAATAAAAGAATAACATTTGACAATTTAAAGAACAATTCGTTTTTCCCAAATTACTTTCTTCTATTAACCTATTTAATTAGTAATAAAATATTGTGACTTTTTAAAAAAAATCTTTTTTTTCTTCAAAATAATAACATATCTAGGTTATGGAAGATATATGTCATAAAATTTTAGACTTATACCCTGCTGATGGGAATACTGGTGATGAACAAGTTGGAAGTAATATTAACACATCTACAACTAAAATAACAACGAATAATATTAATTGTAACAGTAACAGTAATGTAACTACAGGTGAATTACCAATTCATCATGTAACACATTCAGTATCATTCGATTCAAACAAATATCATGGAATAAATAGTAAAGCAGAGCCACCTGCTAAAAGGCAAGCAATAATGCGTTCGTCAGGGAATAATATTTATTCATCAACTGTACACACTGGTCATTCTAGTGGTAGCAATAATAATAATATTAATGTTACTTCATCGATGATGAATAACAATCCTGCAGTAATGAAACATGTTCCATATCCCTCACATTATCGTCTACCAGTTGGTGCAATTGCTAACAATAATAAAACAACTGTCTATAAATGATATGATGCTGAAATAAGTAAGTGATATATTATTGTTTTCTAAAAGAAAGTTTGATGGTATTCATAGATTCTCCGCATGTAACTGATACCGTAACAACTTAATGAATCTCATTGAACTTCAACTCTGATCTGAAGGTCACGTACTTACGCCTGTTACCCCTCGTCGAGAAGCAAAGGCCGCCAACCTGCACTCTCCATCCATCCTTATCCTGGGTAATCCTTTCCAGTCCTTTCTAGTCACTATTCATTCTTTCCATGTCTGCTTCCTATTCCTGACGTAGAGTGTTCTTTGACCTTCCTATTTTCCGTTTCCATTCAGAATTCCAAGTTAGGGTGTGCCTCGTGACACAGTTTGATGATTTTCTCAATGTGTGTCCTATCCACTTCCAACGTTTTTTTCTAATTTCCTCTTTACCTGGAAGCTGGTTTGTTCTCTCCCACAGTAGGCTGTTAGTGATGGTATTGGCTAACAGAAATTAATTATCTTGCGTAGACAATTAATTATAAATGCTTGTACCTTTCTGATGATGGTTCTCCACGTCTCAGCTGCGTACAGTAGGACTGTCTTGAGGTTTGTATTGAAGATCGCGACTTTGATGTTGACTGACAGTTTTTCCGAGTTCCATATGTTCTTCAATTGTAAGAACGTCATTCTTGATTTACTAATCCTTACATTCACATCTGCATCTGAACCTCCTTGTTCATCGATGAGGCTTCTCAGGTACATGAAAGATTCCACATCCAGAGTTTCTCCATCAAGTGTGATTGGGTTCGTGTTCTCTGTGTTGTACTTAAGTCTTGCTGTTTCCTGTGTGTATGTTGAAGCCTATTGATGCAGAGGCTACTGATACACTAGTTGTCTTCATCTGCATTTGTTGATGTGTATTGGATAGAAAGGCCAGGTCATCTGCAAAGTTCAAATCTTCTAATTGATTCCGAGCTGTCCATTGTATTCCATGTTTTCCCTCAGATGTCGAGGTCTTCATAATCCAGTCAACCACCAGAAGAAAGATGAATGGAGAGAGTCGGCAGCCTTGTTTGACTCTGGTCCTCACTTGGAATGGGTCTGTCGGCTGTCCTCTATGCACGACTTTCCAGTGTAGTCCGTTGTATGAATTCCGTGTGATGTTGACGATCTTCTCAGCTATACCATAGTGTCGAAGAAGTTTGCATAAGGTTCTCCTATCCACACTTTGAAACGCTTTCTCATAATCAATGAAGTTGATGTATAGTGACGACTTCCATTCAACTGACTGTTCGACGATTATCTATAGTGTTGCGATTTGGTTTATGTACGACCGATCCTTACGGAATCCAGTCTGTTGATCTCATAGCTGAGCACCTACTGAATCTCTCATCCAGTTAATCGACAATCTGTTACGAGTGATTCTTGCTGTTAATTTAATTTCATGCAACCCAACAGTCACACAAATGTTCATATTCTCGGCTTTCGACTACACCTTTTTATGTGCTAGGATTAGTTGTATTAAAATGAATGGAAAATATACTCTAATGATTCAGCTAATCCTTCATACATGTTCAGAATAAACAAATCAATGTGAAGATGTAAATGATAAAAAATATTTTACCAATAGTCAGTAACTCCTATTCATCTCCAGTAGCGAAACTTTATTATCAGTTCAGGTGTCACAACTTTTTTTCATCCATCAGATAGTGAGCAGTACACGAATTCCAATACATTCATCTCTTGTCTTTTTTTTTACAAACGGTGGACTATCAGGGGGAATATACCAATAATTGAAGTATTTCATTTTGAGATTTCCAGTATATCTCATCACTATAGGTTTTAAGGCTTTCATAATACCCTGCGAATGCACTTATGATTTATATTCATTCTTAGTTCAAATAAATCTAGAACAGGCAGTATGTCTAAGCAGGCTACTAGATAATGTAAAACCAATAGAAATACTACATCGTAATCAATTTTGAGTTATATCATCTAATATTTCATCATGAAGGCCTTAATCAGAAATCCTACTGTGAGAACGGTCCACGGGTGAACTTGATAAGGTTCTAAGATGTTCAGAAGGAGTTGAAGATATTCGATCCAATCATTTCTTAGGAAAATATTCCAGAATCCCTATGTATATCTTCCCTATTGGCTAATAACCCCCTGTATGCGGATTGGAGGACTGTAATGATGATTTGGTTTTAACTAAAAATTATGAATACCTGACAGTTCTGTACCATAAATGACACTGTTTGGAATAGCATTCCCTTCACTTGTGTTCTGTTTTCTCATTTACGACTTGGAGGGTTCTGGCATTCGAGTGTTCTAGTTGTACGTGGTATAATGAAAAACTGAGCTTCTGGATATAACACCTACTATTTTAAATTGTTATCAAATCTCTTCATATTTGTCTGTCTATGACATTTTCTATTTTGATTCTTCTCAAAAACTCTTCATTCCTATTTCACAATAAATAAATACCTAAATTATATTAATAAATAATCGGAAAATCCTGTTGAATGCATAACATTGCTAGAAAACATTAACATCGTTGGATGCCGGCTCAGTGGTCTAATGGTTAAGCGCCCACGTGCGAGACTGATAGGTCCTGGGTTCGGATCTCGCGAGGCGGGATCATGGATTGCGCACTCCTGAGGAGTTTCATACTAGGATGAAACGGCCGTTCAGTGCTTCCAGGTTTTCCATGATGGTCTACCTTCACTTGACTCACGAATTAAACTATTAAATTATCTATAAATTACATAAATAAAATGATTTTTTCTCTCACATTTTCAAAGTCAGTATTTATACTATATTTTATTTTTTTCCACTCAAAATTACAGGCATTCATATACACAACAATAATTTATTATATAAATCAAATGGTGAAGCTTACTTTATTTATTGTTTGCGTTCAGTGCCTGAAAAGTATTCGATCTAGATCAACTTTAGATCAACCATTTTTAAAAAAATGTAACTGATGTATTCTAGCATTCAGGTTTTTCTGTATATACAAATTATATATCTAAATAAATATATATTTATATCTGTGATGAGAAACCTAATTTTTTTTCTTGGGATTAATGTTTACTGTGTACTTGTTTTTTTCTTCTCTTTTCCCTTTCACTAACATCAAGAGTATTTTCATGGTATCACATTCTTCTCCATATGAATTCGGTTAAAAATAAGAACTATACTTTTCACTAATGAATACAATAACTAACAATAGTTTTTGTTTGATAAAACATGATTATTCCTTAGAAGACACTAATAATCGATAGTTGTTCTATCGTGTTTATTCAGTAGCTTAAATGTGATTAGATACTTTCAGTTTATCTGTTCGTGATACCTTTCATAGTGACTATCAATAATGATCATGACTTCATTTGAATGTCAGTTATCGATTTGCACATCGTTTTTACTCCCTTCCCCATATATCGGGTGATATATCTAAGTCTTATACAAAAACCTACTCATTTGAGCCGAATATAAAATTATACGTAGCTACTTAGTTATATTAAATGTATTAACATTTTGGTTAGAATGCGTTCCTTTATCTGCGTGGTTGAATTGTGAAGCCTTCATTGGCGTTCTGAACTACATCGTCGGGAATTATGTCATATAGAATTGATCTATTTGACTATTCATTCATCATTGTGTCCCTGCTGACTGTCATGTCCAATTGGAAACTTGCTACCTGACTAACTTACCCTACCTGTGTAAATTGATAAGTCAGGTCACCGTCGATATTTCTTAGTGATTTCAGATTAACTCTTAAGAATCCTCTACGATCCTTATTTTTTCGAATTAGAATTTCCACATTTTCCCAATCAAATTCTTCTCCATAATTATCTACGCATATTGATGAATTATGTTATATCTTCACACTAATAATCTATGCTCATCTATACACAAATAATAGGGGAATCCACTTTGGCCAATATAATGCTTGCTACAACTGGCGCACTTTATTTAGTGGATGATACTGCCACTGATAAGTCTTGTCGATTGAACGCTATATTCGTTCCTAAGCTATCCTGGTAACCCGCAACCTAGAACTACACAGCGACCTGAACACCAGAGAGAAAACGCAAAGTATGAGAGAAAATACTTTATTCCAAGGTTCGTTCTTGTACAGAAAATCATGGGTATTTATAGATGTTAGCGTTTGTTAAATCAACACCATATTTCTGCCAATCCGTTAACGACATATTATGCTAATGACCATGCCAATAGTAACACGCCACGTTGGAATTCTAGAATGCTCCATCATGCTCTGATTGGCTAGGACTCTTCGGCTCCTTTTGGGCCTCTGGAGGCTCCGTTGAAGTTTTACGAAAGCCGACTCAACAGCCACCTTCAGCATTACATTTTGAATAAAACATAATGAATAATTTCTTACGATCTCAATTATACAAGGATATCGACAAATTAAAAAAAAGAGGTATACTGTCGAACCTTTATTAGGCTCTCCTAATTAAAATACGTTTACCGTTTAAAATGATACCAGATCAATGTGGCAGTGATGAATTGTAAATTTTAATTTACAATTCTAAACTGGTTGCTGTGATCGTTAGTCTGTAAATCAGTGATGGATATTTCTACGAACTGTTAGTATTGACTTGAAATATTATCACTAAATCAAACTAAGAAATATGCTTAATTCAATCAAGTGATGATGTACTTACGCAAGGTTATAAAGAACGAATGAAGTTCTTGGATCGTTAACATCTTTTTACAGTGAATAAACAAGTCAGTTCTATTCAACAAGAATATACACACTAAATGATAAAAAATATATATTATGCCACTCAGTAAAAAGAAAAAAAGAAGGTAGGTAGTTGATGAAAATAACGAATTCGACGAATCGAAGTTATTACAATTTTATGCAGTAAAGTAATTTTTCAGAGAAAAGCAACAATATGTATTGTAGAACGTCGGATGAATAAACAGGTGGGAGAAGCAAATGTTAATTTAACTATTAAGGAAGATATTTTTCTCCTTGGCATCTTTGTCCAAGTGTAATCGATCGAGCTGAATATTTTGATCTTGAATCTTTCTATCTGGATAATAGGGGGACTAACTGTAATTATCACATGTTCATTCTTAAAGTTGTTTGCTGTACGTTCCGACCTTCTTCAGGACAGTCTATATTTGTCCGCTTTGAATTGGATGCCATTTTTCTTCTGATATCTTGTACAATAAAATCATAATCAGCGTCCAAAAGCAAACTAGATTGAGCTATTCGGCCATAGCTTCGATTACTGAATTTATGAAAAGCAGCCTGTAAATAAATATTAGTAAAATAAACATGTGCTTAATCTTTACCATCTGATCAGTTAGTTAAAACGTATGAGCGGTAAAAATGAAGTGGCTCAATGAGTATACTCATAGTATATTAATTATTACATGGTATTATCGTAATATATACATCAAGTTGTACATAATATTAGTGTACTCAACTTGACACATCCTCATGTGACGGTTAATGATACACCTCGGCTCTTGGAACCGAATAATAGGCACAGATGGGTTTCAACCTGAGATACATTGGACGAAAGCCTATCATTTTAAGTACCAACCCATCTCGATGGTAGATATAACAATGAAGATTACTGATTACATTCGGACAAACTATTCTTGCCGTTCAGGTTTGTATACTCGTTTGCTGTCTAAACACCTATAAATCAGTATTTTTGCTTACTTCACCATAGAGCCATATATCTGTTATGTTCGTAGCCGAGCGAACAATAAAGATGTAACTTGTTATTATCTTCACTGAAGTTTCAACATCACAATACGTCAGAAGTTTGGGACATTGTAGATAGTATTGTAGTGACTCACCATTTATCACGAGAACACGATTGGTTTAATAGAAACAATTCTTATTATAACCAACTGTACCAGTGTTTGTTTTAATGTGCTTTTGTTTAACTGTGCTAATGACAGCTATTTTGTGCTTCCATTCTTATACTCACACTTTGATTGTGACTTCGTGCGAATTCGGTTACGTTCTGTAACCAAGCTTGTATCCTGGCACGATCTCGGTATCCTTTCGATACCACGAGATCGCCGGCAAATATATATCTCGATTTGGTCCATTAATTGCCTTCTGGTATTTGGCTTCTCGGAGATTTTATGGATTTATTTGGTTACGTTCTACCTTCGCCTTCTGATTAACTTGGCACGTTTTCCTTGGTAGCGGTGTTCATAGTTAATCCCAACTCGACACCACGCTACAGTATCATTTAACCCTAATATAGTAACTGTTGCTCCGAAATTCGGATAGTGAATTTCACTTCGTTTATCAGTCTTATAATGGTAATCCAATCAAGAAAAAGTATCCTCCAAACATAATTCGCAAGCTTTCTGGTAGTTCGAATCTACGTTATTCAGTTTAATCCACTGGTTAATCAGACTCCATCTCATTACTGAGTATGACTACAAATTATTCGCCAAATAACAAATAATAACCGATTTCATGATAAGTGACGCATCTTCAACTCTTTGAAACGGCATGAGTTTCCATAGATTCCTAGTTATGAATGCTTGCAAGTGGCAACGAGCCTGTGGGGTGATTATAGGGTCTTGACAACAGACTAAATACCTAAAGTCTAAAAATACTGATGATTGGTTTTGTATCGCTCTGAAACCTTCCTCAACCCAGAGACTCAATACATTACATATCACCTAAGGATGATACTAGTTGACACTTAGTAATCAACCGATATACACCAATGTTTACCAAGTAGTTATTTGATTGTATACTGTAGTTTCCGCTCACCGAGATCTGTTAACTTGTATGCATAATAATCAGAACAAATCAGTATCACCCTATTGCTATTTAGTCAACAAGTGATTGTTCACTCATTCTTCGTTTCCAACAGATAGTGACGCGTGAATAACATAAATAATTGAGACAAGCAGTATTGCTGCACTCCTTTTTCTAAAACTTAATACATACGATTTTGTGGCTACTTATATCTATTTAAGAATAACCCTTTAGTGCTAAACGTACCGATTTCGAGATTTCTTTTTTTGTTACATTTCTTATTTGGATTTATTACTTACCTCGTAATTTCTGTTGTTTATATTGGAAATTGGTAAAGTTCGTACAATATTTTGCACATATGTAAGTACCATTGGCAATAGATTGGTAACATCCTCATGTCCCATACTTAGGCCAAGTGCTTTTGGCCATGTTTCAAATGTTACTGATAAACCCAAACTGCCATTAGTTTCAATCCGAATATCATCTGTTTCGCTTTTTCCATTTTCATACTCTAATCGTATAAGTTCACGTGCCAAGTAGACGCCAGCTGCGCACTTTACACTAGCTAAAGTACCTGCAGTTGATAGTTCAGTTAAGTTCAATTCGAAAAGATAACGACAAACTAATTCTATCTAAAAATTTTTAGGAGAGAAGCAGAGAATAATTTTCAATCACCAATTGCCTATTATTATTATTATTATTATTATTATTATTATTATTATTATTATTATTATTATTATTATTATTATTATTATTATTATTATTATTATTATTATTATTATTATTATTATTATTATTAGGTCAGGATACAAAAATGCCTATACTTCTAAACTAATCTAATTGCAAGACACGGGTTTTGAAAATTTAAGTGCAACTTAGTAAACAGACTCATGTTAATACGTTGTATCACAAGTAGCACATTTTGCATTAGGCCTATTCAAATTGTAGTAGAAGCGAAGTTCGAACAAGCAACCTAATGACTGATAACCCTGATGCATTAAACACTAAGCCATTGTAATCTTCCTGTCGTACAAAAAATAATGTTTTCTTTCCTATGGAGACCAACTCGGATTCCTAAGATATCCTTGGTCAAAAGACTAGTTCATTTTCGGGAGAATAACTATGTTAGTCGAAGTTGTGGCTAAGGATTGGTTATTATTCGAACCAAGATTTTGTTACGTTGTAAGTCACCAACTTTACATATACTATCTTACTTATCTGTTAGTTCGATGAAATCACAGTATTTATGTTATCTCATTTATCCAACAACTAAACATGACAATCATTAGCTGAATTGACTGTTAGGTATAGCTCTGTGTTTTCTTACCACTTTTATTGTTCCGCATCAATAATTTACAGGTCTTAGTAAAAGCGAAATGTAACGAGTCTCTTTTAACAAATTAACTTTATCATTATTTCACTTAGTTTTATTTAATTATAATTGGATCTCGAAACATCATGCTCGCCGCAAGATAAGTAGGTAACGTTGAAGCGTATGAGGTTTAAGGTTACATGTAGATGGAGAGTTTTAAACGGAGATGAGTCGATTATTATATACTCAAACTTTAATATTTCTCCAGCATAGAATTCATCACCAAAATCAAATGGAATTCCAACAGTATAGATCTTGGAAGAGCTGAAGATTGAAATACAAAGCTGTCTTATCTAAATATCTATCCAAAAATTTTAAATTTCTGATAAAATCGAGCGGTTTAATTGGCTCAAAATCTTCAACATCAAGCTTCTTTTTGTTACATCAGTCAGTTAGTTACATGCAACACGAAACCCGGTTCATATTTTCTTCGGTTCAAGTTGCCACACTGCATGAGCATAGTGATGAAAAATTGTGAAAACGAACCCCGGAGTAGAAGAAGTAGTGGCAGTTTCAGCAGTAGTACAAAAAAGGGTATACGTGAAAGTATAAAGAGATTTAGAGACTCTGGAAGTACAAAGAATGAATGTATTTGCGCCATTGCAGAAGACTTTAATCCATGTCACCCAAAGTCTTCAGCCATTGATCATGATAATCACGTGGAACCCAACCAGATATTCTCCATCTGTTTGTCGATGACTTTCGTGAACTGATCCCTTGTTTTGGTTAGACCTTCCTAGCTCTGTTCCAGCTTACTGCTCTTATTACATTAGTATCTGCGCTCGTGTTTCAACCAAATTTTTAAATCACTCAAACGGGAAAATACAAACCCTTACAAGTAACCTTATACCCGTTGAACAAGTAGGTGGCTATTCCGACGTCGAATGTGAAAAGTCCTGAGCCTTAATATGAACATAAACACTAGGATCCAGATACGTAAAGCTGACGAGCATCAGCGGATGAAACACGCATCTTGAATTTCACTGCTAAGCGTAATCTAACCAAGTGCCAGTATCGACGAAATCTCCTCAATATTAACTTATGTCAAAATAAGCTATTCTGTTCCAGTACTAACTCTTCCAAAAAGATTCTCTACAGTATCGAAATAAACGTTATCTTATTATATCATAGTTAACATCCTTATAATTAGTCATTATTATTCACTATTATTTAAAAAAGCAGTAAGAAACAGGAAGGACTGGACATCTATTTCGTCCTGGTACGGAACTCATCAGCAGTGCGCATTTACGATCCCACAGCAAGGGGTCCATACCCAAGACCTTCGGTTTCTCTCACGTACACTTAGTCTCTAGAGCGTGGGGCCGGTGTACAATTGTGTACATGTCTAACTGCTACCAATGCATAATATCGTCCAATCACCTTCCAATGTATTGAATGGGCAGCTACTTTACACTCAGTATTGTTGAACTCCGCTGGTTATGGCTTCTCACTAGAACTCCGGAATTATCTGTCGAAATTAAACGCTAGAGAATATATGAATATTTACTATAAGGAGTTTACAGAGTTCCTTTACTTTTATATTCTGTATCATGAACCGATCATAGTTAACCTATCGTACGTAAAAATAACTTGATAAAGATACCGAATGTAATCAATTTTTTATTCCTATAGTTAAGAAAAATCTTACCTTTGCCTTGCCAGTTAGAGTTAGATCATTACAAGCTGCAAATGCACGATCTAAAAAGTGATGCGGTAAGGGTATATTGATATCAAAATCCAATGCTTCTAACATTTTAAATTCAAAATCTAGCACCTTTGTAAGTAAAAAAACAAAGTAAAGTAGAATGGTCAAACTGGATTCATTGTCTTCATGTCGTACTGACTTTGGCTTAAGAGCTATTGAAAACCTGGAAGAGCCAGGCAAGTTGTTCGCCCTAATATGGCGTTATATACGTGGATAATTCCAGACTAGGGTGTCAGGAAAAAAATATCTGAAATATGTTTCACTTCTGCTGCTTCAATTTTAATGATCATTTGTTATTCTGTGGTCTGTTTTGAATGTCATAACACCAGATTCAGAAGCAGCCATGGGAGAGCTTAGATGAGAACCAGTTCCAGCTACTAGGCATCATGGAAACTATTTCTAACGTAAGTAATGACTAAGAGATATTGTGCTTATAAATACTGTTTCTGTGAGCTTTTTACAACTAATCCTTTGTGGACTACTATCATAAGTCTCAACTTTTGTGCAGTGACTGAAAAACCTACTAGTCTAAACATGCAAATAAAATAAGAATGAAAGTTAACCTCGTAAATTGTTTAAAGTTTATTGATCTAACTGGAGTGATCAGATGGATGAATCGAAATGTTGATGAGATAGATTGTAATGTAGATGACAAGTCATTCGACTACAATTGAAGATACCTGAGAAGCTGGTTGGAACACGAAAATCGGTGAGGTAAATGACCACAGTTTTCAGCACTTCACAGTTCATTATTACTAACTATTGAAACTAAATGTAATACAAACTCTGAATCACATTATAATACACTCATTTTGAACTACATTTACTTGTCCTTGCAGAGATGAAAGTGATCACATGTTAGTAGGGTAGATGCTGTTGATTGAAGAGAACATCTTATGTAAACTATCTAAATGGGAGTGTTATTTTACCACTTTGTTGATAACACTACAAATTTGATATCCTAAAAACAACCTATCAAACATCAGTAGTCACACAGCATTATTATTATTAATTACGTAAACACATAAACTATTTGATTCCTATTTACTCAGCTCGTCATAAGTTAGAAATATGCTTTATAATATGTCGCAAGTATATTAACAAAATTGATTAGTCTTTATTTACACTTGACACTGATAATGGATCAGAAAATTTATGTATATAAATAGTTATTTGCATACTGACGAAAAGCTGACAGATGGAATTGGCCGTTATATAACTGAAAGTAGAATAAATATGATTATTCAGATTATATATTATCTTTTCCAATAACACATCATGAAGATCGAATGCTTCGAGTTGATATCCACTGTGCTGAGGTCTCAAAACCTATCTCCATCTACACCCGGTTGAAAACCGGATAGGATCAATAACATTTATTCTATGTATGTGGATCAAACCTGAGTACACAAATCTGCACTTTCTGGGTAATTTGTATGATTATCCTTATTATTATATATCAAATAAGTAATAAAATACTTTAATCAAGTCAATTTAGTAGTTACCTGTTTAGAATTATACGAATCCTCAGTTAAATAACACAAAATTTTAGTTGCTGGAGGAAAGCGTTCAACGAATTTTACAGCAATAAATATTGCTGTAACACCAAGTAGTTGGTATTCTGACGGATATAAAGTTATTTGTCTCCAGGTATACTGATCAACTAAACTGACAGCTAGATGCAATGATTCTGTGCGCAACTTTAAATATTGTTGTACCTAGAATTGAAACAAAAGATAATGTATATGGGAATTTAAAGCATAAGTGATTAAATGGACAGGTAACAATTCTATCTTTTTTGTTCCATAGTACTGTTTAGATGTAAGTAATCAAATTCACATTGAGATCATTTAGCTAAGTGACTCAAACTGGAAGAATGACTAGAATCCATTACTATTAAAATGTATTCTAATTGAAAAGATTTGCTATTCTTTGCTTGGATGTTTTTTTATTTATTTAAACATGTTAATCTGAACTAACTTCATTGACTGAGGGTAGAAAAATATTCGTTCAATAATCTGAGTAATCTATTTCTATGTTGGTAACTTAATTAGATTTAATCATTTTCTACCCAATATGAAGTTGATGCAGTTCTGTGTTAATATTTTCGTTAACTTGTTGATGGTCACGCTACTTATGCTGACAGATATTAGTAGTATGTAGCACCAATCGGAAGTAGAATGCCTGACAGCACAAGATTGAATTGACGAGAGCAGTAACGGAATTAGTAAACAATCATGATGACAACGGGAGTGGGAGAATCATGGAGCATGTAAAAGACAACTGAAGGAAGATGTGTGGATAATGTATTTAATGCATGATTCTCGTTTTTTTTTACCACGCTAGTGTGATTTTGCACAAAATAATTAATTGGTTTTCCTACGAAGTCATCATTCATTACAGTTGGATTATTTAGGATTGTTCATCTCAGCTTTTGAAACTTCACTAATTATACGTTACGTTATAGCTTAACATTATTTCTTCCTAAAATGAACCCGTCAGTTGCATAAAAACTTCCACTATGTTTCTATGAATAGTATTCCTTATGGATACGGGAAGATAACTCACTTAAAGGTAAAGATCCTGAAGTAATTTTTGTTAAATTTTTAATCTAAGTTACTGAGCACTATTCAATATCATAAACTGAATAGGACAGTTTTATTCACATTAATATAGGTGGTTCCATGAATGTGTTATAGAGATACGTCTTATGACAGATTATGATTTATAAAGTCAAAAATATCATAAATGAAATAGTAATCTATGGATGTTATTCTATAATGTTCACTCCGTTACTAATTAATTGAAGTCAGAAATATGAACTTTCTGAATCTAACTCATTAGTCTTAAGATACATTAGTTAAGGATGATTTGGTATAATCCTGCTGATGATTTTATAATTAATAGTGGTGGGATGTTCCAACTTATGGCAGAACACCTGATAAATACTTCCAAGTTTTCTATAGTCTTGTCTTTTGAGAGTAGTCCTCTATGTAAGTTGCAATTACTTCCATAAATTTAAATTCATGTTCATCTTATTTTTACCTGTTTGCGTGTATTTGCAAAGACCACAAGAATCGCAAGTAAAGGGACTAGGCTATAGTAAATATTCAAAAGTAAAATATACTGTAATGCCATGATTATAGTAATTTAATTAGTAACTCGCCCAGTACAATTCATCAATCCAGTTTAACTACCATTGTGTTGTGGTAAACATCGTGTTGATGAAGCTTTTGAAATACATTATTGGCGTTAATAAAACCTAAAAAGTACAAGTTCTGTTCTAGACATTATTGTTATTCATAGAAAGATTTTAGATGGGAATAATATTTAAAATACTAAAAAACATTTTATGTTACTTTGATCCCAAACTAGCATCATTTGAAAAACTACAAAAAACTAGGGAGATTTGACGGCTGTTTCATTCATAATTTAGGACCTATGAACCCTATTCACAGGATAGTATAGGACATTCAGCTCATGTAGGGACCACAATACTGTTCGACCTTTGGATTGGAATTCAACTCTCCACACTTTCAAATCCAGTTATTTCGGATTTTAGCACAATCCTGACTTTAAATTGCTTCCCAACTAGTGCTAATTCTGAATATAAATAATCCCTCGATTAGACGAGATCTCTAAAAAAAACTTCATTTTATTAATGATTAAACTCACTCTTATCATCCAATCGCAAAGAGTTGCTCTTACAGTTTCTGTCAAACCATGTCGTTCCAAGAAATTCGCCTGATAATACGAAGCCGCTTTCAAATCTTGGATGAATAAGTAACGAAAAATCTGTGCGTCGGGCGAGTATTCATGAATAAAATGAGAAAAATAGTGATTATTTACTTAATATAGATCAATATGAAAGACAAAACACACAGTCCATTGTTCAATATCCAAAAACAGTTTTATACGTACAATCTTGACGCTGGATATACAATTACACACTGTGATACATGCATAAATAGCTTTTCTATCAAACAGCCTAATGTAAATTCATTTGCATTGGTTTTTTGAATCCTTCGATTGATGTTTAAGACTATAACTAACCAGTATCTCTCGATATGTGTGCATCTGTGACTTGATGGCAATAACAGGGTAACATAAACAAGATCATTTGCAGTCCTAAGCATCAATGGGATGGTTCAAATAACCAATACAAATAAATGAAAATTCAACCTCATCACAGACCTTAGTAGCTATTTGGACTCAGTAGTTAAATTGACAACTCGGTGGCGTTTGGAGCGAAAAGTACTGGGCTCAAGTTCCAGAGTGAACATCAACTCCGGGATGTGGGCGCATTCATCTGATGAGTCCTGAATAAGACGAAACATGAATCCTTAATCTCACTGCTAGTCATCATTCAACTCTGCTTATCAGGTTGATATAAGTTTAATTACACATTGTTTACATAAAATTTGTTCTAAAAAAGATTTGTCACCCTCAGAGGAAATTGATTGGATCTGGAGTGATCCCAGGTTCTTCAAACGTTTTACAATTATGAAAGAAATAGATAAGTCATATTATTGAAGTCACTTTATTGGACTATCGTTTCCATTTATAATTCAATCTTTTTGATAAACGTTAGAAAGATGTGTATGTAACACAAAGACTGATGGCACATGAGAAATTAATTATCACAGACTTGATTGATACCATCAATCTAAAAAAACTAAATAGTTTAACCAGAATTCCTGAACTTAAAAGTGTGTAGGATTTATTGTATTATCCTTATCTCAGATCACTTGTTACTACAGTATAGTGAAGATTATTTAAGCAAAACTGTTTAAAGCTACTACTTGCTGCTTGTCAACAAATAATGTTCCTTTCAAATAATTGAAAAATAGTAACTTTCATTGTGATGGTTTTTAGTGGCCCGTGGATCTGACTCCAATTAGACCGTATGAATGTTCGTTATTACCTATCCTCGTATACAATTATCGACTGAAATCACGTTAGTCAGTAACGGAATTTAGATAAGTCAATTAACGAGAATGGCCTTTGAATACGTATATCTTGTATGTTAAGTGAATGTAACGCGCAAGGCAGATGGCTGGTAAGCCAACTCCATTTCTAGCCAGGCATTACATAATATTTATAGGCAGACAGAATAAACTACAGATATGTGATGAGTCATGGGATATGATGTGTACACACATATACGCTCATATAAAAACAGTCAAGGCTGATAAGCAAATAATTAACAAGGTCAAAATATGACTCAAGTAGAGTGAATAGATTAGTTTGTCCAAAAACTAGAATAAGACCCATTATGAGCTTAAAATAATGACTGACACTACAGGCTTTTTACTCAGTGGGGTTTCAATCGGAAGTTGAAATTCAAATATTTTGTTCGTACAGTAACATCGATCATACTTGACTTTTCATGATAGCCCGAGTGTGTATCCGATTACATTAAAACTCCTTTAAGACACAAAAATATCAGACAAACAGTTAAACAAGTGCTTCTTTCGAGAATGAATCACTTTAGAGTTAATAGTGTTAAACTACAATCTTCAAGGTCTTTGATAACTCCTTAAACAATGAAAAGATTATTTAATTAACTCAAACCATTAGCTACACTTAAATTATATCGCTTGATCCATATGTATTCGTGTTTATTACAAAACGTTTTCTTACTGAACCTCAAACATATACTTTAAATCTTAAAACAAAGACTAACTTACGCGTTCATGGTTTAAGTGAAATTCCCCCAAATGTTGTTCATCGGCTGCAGATCGCGGCAGTGAAATCACTGAACGATGACTATAGTATGGTCTTACTTTCTCGTTGGAACTATTGTTATTATTATCACGATAGCATTCAGAAAGAATCTCATTTCCTGTTATTCCATTGTTAATCTCTTTTTCAAAAATTATTGGTAATTCATCAAAGAATAACGCTGTCATCATTTTGGTGCTTTCTAAAACAGACCATTTAATCAATCTTCTATCCTTTTTGCATATGTACAAATCACTTTCCTGACTAGTACTTATTCCTGTAAATTGTTCATCAACTATTTGATCATATGATTGACATTGGAAAATACATTCTTCACTTTTAATCTGAATTTGATTCCAATCTGTTATTTTATGTAGATTATTATCATCTAGAGTAAGCTTTCGAAAATGTATCAATCCTACTACTGAATCGTCTATAGATTTGGATTTTTCTAAAGAATAATGTGAACGAAATGAAGAATGAGAACGACTCATAATACACGAACAGCATTTATCATAGAATAATATCTAATAAAAAATATTTGTGTTCAAGTGTCCCTAATCATGATACACAACAGAAAATCTATTTCATCTTTACAATCTCCTGTATGTATGATGAATAATACATACAAGTAAATTATTTGGTTTCATTTTCGTCTAGACTGAAAAGAAAAGTAGTGTATTTTATAAAAGAAGACCTTTTACAAATTTAGAAACTATCATCACTATTTGATAATTCCTCTAACCCATTCTATTAATTTATTCAACCATGTATTCCTGAACTCGAACCACAACGATCAGTTGATTAGAAGTCAATTAAATAAGCATTATAACTAGGTGAAATATTGGGACAATCATGTAATAACAAGTACAAAGATGTTTGTGGGAATCTTAGAATCTTCATGCTTTGAACTATGAAGTATTCTTAGCTAGATCAGTCTAGAGGTTGAGCGTTCGCCCTCGAAATTGTAAGTCATAGGTTTGACCCCTTATGGTGAGGCCGTGGATGCGCACCATTGAGTAGTCCCATTCTAGGATGGAACAGCCATCCAGTGCTCCCCGGTATTCAGTGATGGCCAAAATAATATCAGCTCGTGATTCAAATCTTGCAATTGATTTTATATCGAATAAATCAAAAACAGGATCCTTGACCAATGATCTAATTTCAATACCTTGTAAGATACATATCGATGGTGCAGCTGAGTAAAAATAAGATCGCATATAATTTGTCACTTGTTACGAAATAAATTTCATTGATTTTTTTGTAGAACGACTGGTCTGTAGGCTGAGACTGAGTTGACAACGACTAGGTATATTCACCGACAATACTTGTGCCATATGAAAGATTGACTAAAATCACAAAACCCTGATAACTGAATGACCAAAAAACACAATTATTATATAATCTGAAATTCTGATTCTGTTTTGGGTCTGACTGGTCCATTACTACTGAGTCCCGATATAAATAATCTCTGATATTATCTATTTCCAAGGGGCTGTCATCCAGTTTGTATTATGCACTGATGTAAATCATCTCCAAAAGCTAGATAACTTCACATAAATAGCATAAATAAAAGAACAAAAATTATGTTACGAGTAATAAATTAATAACGAATTTCTCAAAAACATTTTACTACCCGACTTTAGTTTCTTCGTTTGTTCAACATTATTATTTTTGTTAGACTTTCTCAACTCCATCAAACCACGTGTTCTAATCGATTTAAAAGCACCAGTAGTACTACAGACAGTATTGCGTCGTAAACCAATATTCAAATTCTCTTTGCCAACTTTATTTGGATCCAAACAATTTTGATCATTTTTAGTAGATTGTTCATTTTCTTTATTGTACTGTACACTATGATGGCGACCACTTATACGCCGATTTTTCGATCCACTTAATAAAGTTAATCGGCCATTACCTTTTCTGTTAGATGACATGGTTTCTGTGTCATTGGATGATAATCCATCATGCTTTTTCTTAGGCTTTGAGAAGCAAACATTTCAAACAGAAAGTGATAAGTTTGATAACGTAAAATAATGTAGACGTATAAATGTGAGTCAACAGAAAATATTAATTATTAATCTTCTTATTATCAAGCTTGTTAACCTGATCAGTATACAGTAGCGTATGCACAGAAAGAATTTGTAATTCATCTTCAAAAATGTAATTTATGCAATGGAAAACTTAAAAATTTTTTTCTAAGAACATGACAGTTTGCATTCAGTAACTTATACTACTGGTGACGTTAAACAGATGTTCGTCTGTTCGTTAACACGCAATCTCATAGCATAGTCATTTCTTACTTCTGAATGTTAATGTAGCCACTTGTAGTTTTAGAAGTTAGATATTAACACTGTTGGATACCGGCTCAGCGGTCTAGTGGTTAAGCGCTTGCGCGCTAGACTGATAGGTCCTGGGTTGAAATCTCGCGAGGCGGGATCATGGATGTGCACTGCTGAGGATACTGCTGATCGATACGCTTGACAATTTATCTCCAAATTCAGTCTTATTATCTCCAAATTGAGTTCTGACGAGCATGATGGAAGAGTTACAATATGCTTTGTTCAATTAGTGAGAAAAATCTTTAGAGGGAAAACTTGTTTTATATTTCACTATATGATAAATAAACCATATGAGAATGAACTACCAAAGTTTTTATTGACAAGTCCAATAGTTGAGTATTTTTAAATCACTCAATAAGGCTATTGTTTAAGACTATTTAAGTAAGACCACAAGTTGTGGTTGCTGATATGAATAAGTTTAGTTCTATACATGCCAATCTGTAAGTTTTATTGAACAGATAACTTTTCGATCAATAGTGAATAACTAAATCACTTTTCTATTTTAAAAATTGTTGTATCCAGACAAGAATTGTGAATGGTAACTTTTGAGAACTATTTGTGGACTAATAGGATACATACATTTTTATTGTATAATTATTAAATAGCTAAAATATGCATATTCATGTTCCTCATATGAAAAGCTTTATTTTGACACATAGACTATTATTATACGATTTAATGTTCTTGAATTATACCCTTCCTACTAAATACAGTCTCTCACATTCACAACCACTTTTGTCTAGATCATGTACAAATGTTATTTTCTGTTTTATGGTACGATTTGGTCTGTTTGGTTTTGTATGTAAACTCAATATGCTTGAAATACATGATTTATATCACGTAGTTTGAGATTGGCGTTCTGGACTTAACAGGCAGGATCCTATAAAAACTCTAAACTGTTCGTACGGGTTTTGTGCGTTATTGGTCCGGTCGATAAATCATTGTTCTCTAATTGTCGGTATCATTACGTTATATATAATAATAGGGCACAAAACCACAAGTTATAACAAAAATAATTTGCAAAACATTTATCAAGTCTATATAAAGTAACCTGTGAATACAAGTTCAGCTTTGTTAGGCAGAATGACATATGTTGTCTATTAAAATAGATCAATCCGAGCACGACGTTCAAAAGTTTGGCTCTAAACAAAAATAACCAGTATTAAGGTTTTGGACCAATTTAGTTTAGTTAAAGAAATTTGTAGATTAAAATAAATGGTGCCTGACTATATGATTCGTTACAAAGTATATTAGACAATATAACCATGAGCTTATAGTTAAAGGTATGCGTTTTTGGATGACATTTCTAAACAGATAAACGTTGAAAAAGATTTTTCTTTAAAATCTAAAGTCACTGATAGATTTTCTGTGTATCCATTTGAAGATCCAAATTGAAAAAGAAATACAAGCTGACAAAGGAACATTTAGTACGTGCACAATTTAAATGCCTCTTAAATGAACAAATATAAATAAATGGTAGCGATGAATCTAAGGAGTGTCTTATAAAAAATAACCACCTTTAAAGTGGATGGATTTCTTAAAAGGAAAAGTATTTAATCATCTTGGTCAACTAAGCTTAGACATTTTTTCTTATGGAGTATCCTCCTTATAACAGCGACTAAACATTTTAATTGTTATCAGAAGGGATTTTTTGTGGATGTTATAGTAATTTCAATAGTTGAGATCATGAGTTAACTGAAGCTAGATCATCATGGAAAACCTGAAAGTACTGAGCAGTCGTTTCGTCCTATTGTGGGTCTCCTCAGCAGTGTGCATTCACGACTTCGCCTCTCAAGATTCCAACCGAGGATCTAACCGGTTCGCACGCGAGCGCTTAACTTCTAGACAACTGGATAGGTTGCCATTCAACGGTGTTAACGAATAACTTCAACTAATTCACGTGGATGCGCACCGTTGAGGCGCCCCAAAATAGGACGAAACAACCGTCTAGTGCTTTCCCGTTTTCCATAGTGGTTTAGCTTCAACTGACTCATGATCTCAACTATTGAAATTTTAATTATTTTTCTACTATTTTATTTAAAACATATCTAACAAGATCAATTTAATACAAGCAAATCCTTAGATGAATCCTTAAGATTGTTGGTAGAATACTGAAAGTTTTGGGACTACTTGAAATTCATCAAAAAGGAAACTGAATTTCGATACAAATTTCAGTGATCTGATATCGTTATGCATTATACCTAGAGTCTGGTATTCTGAATCACAATACCCTGATTATTTGGCTTCCTTAGAATGAGAACACTGTCATTCTATTACTGAAATAAAAAGGGAGGTACTGGGAGGAATCATTAATTTATCATCCTTATAGAAATTACGTTTCGTGACTTCATTGATCAAACAGACCAAAGAAACAAGTTGGCGTGTATAACTTGAAGACTAGAAGTTTTTAGAGATGAATGTTTACGGGGCAAATGTTCTAAAAATATACTTCCTTTATATGACTGATCAATCACTGAGCAGTGGTGATAACGCCCGTGACTATGAAGCTAAGTGAAAAGGGATCAACTCCAATAGAGAGGAATAGTTCTTTCAAGATTATAGGTGTATCTTGTTGGTGAGTTTCAAATAGCACGAAACCCAGGACTGAGGTTTCTGTCAACTACCTCCAACCACCACCCTACATATACTCTCTTAGCTTTATTTATTCAAAGAAGATTGAAAGAAAGATGCAAAAATAAAGGGTGAGGAGGAGAAATTAGTTTTAATTGAAGAGGTTCGAAGACAATTAATTGTTCACTTTTTTAAACCATCCTCAGGTACTACAATTAAACTTCCGTTAGAAGGTTTGGCTTACGGAGTTGGGTTTTAAAATGACAAAATACAGAATTAAAAGTAAATACAACAGACATCGATCGTCAGGATACCCGTTTTCTCACCTAGTACTTAGACTCATATTGTTGGTGTGTAAAATATAATACTACTGTTTATTCATCTACCTGACTAATCGAAAGTAACTGATTAGCAATTTTTTTAGTTTATTTATTTCAATAATATTTCCGATCAAAGCAGAGTACTGTCTTTCTATGTCCCCCTTGCATGAATGTAGTACGAAATACTAAGAAAGGAATTATCATTTACAATCGGTAGGTATTCATCTATGTATTTTATTTGATACAAGTATATTCAGATACCATTATCATTAATTGTCGAACAGTATCATATACATTTAATCAAATACAATTTGAATCCCTGATAGATACGCCATAAATAAAACAGGAAATATGCGTTGATTGTAATTTTATTAACCACCCAATGATAAATCAAAAAAACTGTTCATTATAAAGAGATTAGTTGTTCTAACATATTGCTTGGCGAATTTTACTATCAAACATTTAGTCACAGGATCGAGTTCTTTATTACTTACAACAATTGAAGCAGTAAGTCATTCTTGTCATTCTTGAAAAAAATAGATATCCTTATAATAGTTTAACAAATGAACAGTCTGTAATGAAAATGAAATGTATAAGAGAGGTTTTAAACTGCATACATTTTTAATATGAATTAGGCAAAGTTTAGAAAGATTAGTTTAATACTGAAATATACACATTAATGAATGAGCAAATAGTTAGTCAAAAGAAAAGACTATCCTAGACCGTGTAAACATAGATTACTTACAAATTCCCCAAAACTTCTTACGAAACACCAACCACCTGTTGAAGAATACGATGATGATGATGATGATGATGGTGTTCGCTTGTCAATATATTTTAATCCACAAGATGACTTATGTAAAGCCTTTTTAAAAGTGAATTTATGTGTAACTATTGTTGGTGATCTATGTTTAAAACAATGTATCTCACAGAATTTTATATGCTTTAAACAAACTGACATTATTTATAAGTGCCATTAACAACAACAACAACAAAATTAGAAGGAACGATACTTGGTGTGATGTAAAAGTTGTCACATTTACAAATCATAAAGAAGAGACATATATCATTTTTAACATATTTTAATCTATTAAATCAATTAAGTTTCTTTTGTTAAAATGACAACTATAAAAGGTGCACATATATACCCATTAATCCCTTTCCTATACCACTTGTTTTTCTGTGTATGAACATTCTGTACACAATTAGTTTATTGTCGTATAAATTAAACGAGTAATTTCATATCACTATGACTCATAATTTAGGGCAATCATCATGGAATAGATCTCTTAGGTGCACGTAACTATTCAATAGAATAATCAGACAATTGGTTAGTTTACTTTAACAAGTGCATTCTGTTAATCTACACATGTAAATAATCAATTCAGTATTATTATTATTATTACTATTAAAACTTATTGATATTATTGTTATTAAAACATATTGATAGATGTCAGTCCTTTGTATTCTACTGATTATTATACCCTATAAGTTATTTGATTTCAATTCAAATTATATCTGTGTCCGATTACACAGGTAGGTGATCTTTTAAAGCAAATCATGATTATCAGTATAGGGGTTGTGAAGATTGTTAAGTTTTTGATTGAGGTCGTGAATCACGGATTAGCTCCACTGGTCACGGCTTCGAATCTCGCCGGGAGCGGGATCGTGGATGCGCACTGCTGAGGAGTCCCATACTAGGACGAAACGGCCGTCCAGTGCTTCCAGGTTTCCAACGGTGGTCTAACATCAATTGATTCATGATCTCAATCAAACAATGACTGTTTTTTTTCATTTCCAGTTCAGTTAGTTATGTTGATAGAGGTATACAACTATTCTCAGTGGATAATGGAATTAAGCATCACTAACTGTTTGTCGTCAAATTACAGGAAAGGTGATACTGATAAGCTTTTTGTTAGAGAATCTTTAGATCAATTGATAAATTAGTTAACCTGTATATTGATTATTTTGATTCACTGAAAACCTTCATTCACAGATATTCATTTTGATGTAAGTCAAAACAGAGTCGGGTTTTGTACGCTATTTTTTTGTATGAAGATGTGTAGGCACATTTGTTACTGGGATAAGAACTAAACTTAACTCCATATACTTCATTTTTATCGAATTTTTGGGTAGTACTCTCTGGTGTCACATTAACATTGATATATAACAGTGTGAGATGTATTAAAAAAGAAATTGATAAGATTGCATTCTTTCTTAAAGTAGTGATTATTCATTGAGGCTTTTAAATAATAGATATACAAATATATAATGTAAACTGTCAAAAAGATGTATAACAATAACAAAATAATCCATTGACTCGATGTCTGGCACAATACGTGCTTTTTGTTTGAATTAATTTCTAGTTTGAATTATTTTTTCAGGTCAGCGTTTTTTTTAGTGAGTTAGCATTCTACGGGATGGGATCGCTAACCCCATGTTTAACTCTCCGCCTTTATCCCGGCTTGAAACCGGCAGTAGCCACAGGGTGTCTCCAGGTGGTGACCTATGCTCCATTAGGAGTGACAGGCGTAAGTAAGTAATTTCTAGTTTACAGTGTATATTGTGAATAACGCCAACTTTGAAAACTCTTTGTTTTTGGAAGATTTGAGCAGAAATATGAAGTCTAATACAGAAACCTTATCACTGAAATATTAAAATTGCAGTGTCGGTTATCATATTAAGCTCATATGCCTTATTCTAGTTTTCGGACAGCCCATTCTATTCATTCTACCTGAGTCACATTGTGACCTTGTTATTTATTCGCCTATCAATCTTGACTGTTTTTTATATGAGCGCGTAGGTGTGTGTACATTTCTTATCCCATCACTCATCACATGTCTGTAACATGTTTTTGTGTGACTATAAATATTGATTAACGATTGACTAAATGGAGTTGGCTTACCCGCCATCTCCACTGCGCGTCGTTTCGATTCTCTGTTCTATTCGCTTCATAAACAAAATATATGTATCCAAAAGTCCATTCTCGTTATTTGACTTAATTAATTCCGTTATTGACTAACGCGATTTAAGTCGATGATTATATACGAGGGTAGGCGATATATACATATTTCAATAACAATCATTCATACGATCAAACTGGAGTCAGATCTCGGGCCATTAAAGTGGAGAGTCCGTCGACAACATCGTCCAATCTAAATGACGACAAAATAAAGCGCCCCACAGAATGATGATTTACGTAAAATGAAATTGGCTACTACTAGCTCTACTGAAATATATGTTTTGATGATCAGTATTAAAAAGTCACTAGTCACTTTGTGACTTTCAACACTAATCATATAGTTTGTAAATAAACTGTAGTTTTTATTTTTCAGACAGAATATATTCTTAGTCAACTAGTCAGTAGATTTACCTTCTGAAATATATTCAACAAGGAATCAGGACAAGTTTCGTGAGCAATTACCAACTAGGTTTTCAGTGCTGACAGTTCAGACATCATGAGTTAATTATTGATCATGGAATATTAATCACAGGTTTTCAATGAAATAGCTCAATCGTAATTTATTCATTATAAGAAATCTACCTCTTAAAGGTTAACTATTATATATAATAATATTATATATATATATATATATATATATATATATAATGGATTTCGATTCACAGTCAACAATGGTGGTCTAGGCTTCTTCAATAAACTCATGAATTTAACTATTTAAAGAAAAAAAGTTATATATATATATATATCAGAATGGGTTTTGTGGAGGTTTTTAGAAGTTTCACAGATTGAAATCATGTGTCAATTGAAGCTAGACCTGGGTTCGAATCCCTCGGGGCGTGGGGTCGTGGATGCGCACTACTGAGGAGTCCCGTACCAGGACGAAACGGCCGTCCAGTGCTTCCAGGTTTTCCATGATGTTCTAGCTTCAATTGACTCATGATTTCAACCTGTGAAATTTGTATATATATATATATATATATATATATATTGATAGAAAGCTTTACATTGCCTGGATTCTATTGATATTTCTCATATAGTTCACAAGTCAACTTATGTAACATTCATTGTGAAGTGAGTTCTATTCATAGACATATTAAGTGATCAATGATTGTTAAATGTTTCTAAAAGAATTCTTCTTCCTTTTTTCCTCTTTATGATTTAAGCTGACACCATGTTAACGGGTGAACTGATATGCTTAATTACATCAACAGAAATCGATTAACTACGAAGATAAAAAAAATTATCTCCACAATAGCTTGTTGATGAACAAACCCATTATCTCCTATTCAAATAGATCAATATTAAGAAGAAAAAATTTTATTTTGTCATTGTATAATCAAAGTAACACATTTTGAAAGCAAAATAATGCAGATTATTTATTTATTTGAACACATAAATATTGGTACATAGAGGCACCGAATAGATATACGCCACACAATTCACTTGATTTGCGTTTGAGCTGTGCTACTGCCCGGATGCTCAGACCGAGGCAGCTGGTTTTCTTAGGGGGCCACACCCGGAGCAATCGACCTAAAGGTCTTATCCACAAGGCAGTGGAGCAACATCAAGAGATTCAGTCATATTGTAGCGGGTGACGAAAGATGAGATTGATACGCCATTTGATTCCTTAGGATCCTAGAGCTCATGTGCACCACTGGTTTGGAATCAGGGTTTTCCAACTCCCCTAAGTGGATCCTCTATATCCACCGACCTGGTTAAAGTACCGGACATTCGCTTTTCATCCTCTCATTTTCGTAAACAACACCCCGCCATGAGGAAGCAGTGGGTAGGACTTCCCTGGCAGTGGTTGTATGCACGTAGCCATGTGAGAGCATTTCGAGAGGGAGAGTGAACTATTCACACTCTCGGCCGTATCAGGGCATTTAGGGGCAAATAATGCAGAATGTACACCTAATGCGAATTCTATACGAAATATAGTTCACTCACTATGATTTATCTCGAAATCATGACGCTAAGGATATTTCAAATAATAGGAACACTTAGGTCGTTCAAGTTACCTAGAATATTGTAGATTTCATTCACATGATAACATCATTTTGTTGATATTTAAGAGAGTTTGCAGTGAAAAAATTGTAAAAACTATGAGAACTTATTAATGAAATTATTTATACACAATAGAAGATAAACATATACCGACTCGTAGAATAAATGAGTTGCTTTAAAGTAATTAAAACCGATTAAAAAGTTGCGTGAAATCCACCGTTGGAGTCTAAATGTTATCACATTTTCTGATACATATAGTCAGTTTGAAGGTGTTTATGCTGGTCGTATAAATTTCAGAATCAGATTTAACATCACTCAAGTTGAAGAATAAAGTATACTTTCCAGCTTAAATCCTGTTATATTTCATATGCATAATCATTGTAAAGTGGATATTGTGGTCCACTAATATTAAGCTAATGTTGTAAACGTCAGATGAAATGTTAACCGAAAGAATTATGTACGGGTTTTTAGATAAACATCAAAATGTATTGTCAGATTGTCTAGGAAAATAATGAATGACACTGAATAACTAATAGATGAAAAGACTTGATTTCTATTTAACTCCATTTCGAACATAATCATATATGAATATATACTAAGAAATATCACAATATCAAAATAGTTGCCGGTTGATAACAGACTATTTATTAAAATTCTTAGTATAGGTAATAGGACTTTACAGTTCTAATTGATCATATTACCATATAAAAGATGGTCAGATTAAAACAAAATACTTTATGAACAGTATTTCACCATAAAGAACTGGGTATTTGTCCTAGTAATTTGACGGTGAGTCAAGAACTAGACCCGTTTCTATCAATAACTTATAACCAATATTTTTTAAAACTTAACAGTATGCAAACTTTCTTAGTTAGTTAGTTCTCTTTCTGCATTCAGACTTCAGTTGTCTAACATAGATTTATTCAATACTTGCTACTTGTTTCTTATGTACAATAATTAACAGGGTAGAT